ACCTATCACCATTTATAAGCTTCTGTCTGTCAGTCTGTCTGTTTTATCTATCAAATATATACAACTATGATATGCATATACATATATATGCATATATATATATATATATACATGTATATGCACATATATACATATATATACATATATGTATGTATATGTATGACATAATATACATTAAAAATATATATACATATATATATGCATTCACAGCTGAATGTATGTGAAGCATCTATCTGTCAGTTTATCTATTTATCTATCAAAATATACATCTATAATGAGAAGAAATAAATGCAAAACACTTTTCGGACAGCCTGCGACCAGTTACCTTATCGCATTCCTCTGCTCCTCAGACTGTCAGCTGCTCCCACGTGTTTTTCCCCAGGGTGGCTTGAGTGCAGGTTCCTCATCCTCGCACATCACACAGAAGTGGGCTCCTCATACCCAAACTTCTGACGGATAAGTATGTGTGTGCGTACTTAGGATTTGAACTTCTAAATCAGTTTCCAGCGAGTGCCTACGGGGAGTGTGTAAAACCTCGCTATCGTTACTCTAGCATGAGTAGATAGGCCATGTCTATGGAGATGGTTAGATTCTAGTTGTATTTTCCTTTTAGTGGCTCGTGTGGTATGATTGTTTAGTACTGGTCACTCCCGGGCATAGCTGGAGCGTCAGGGGTAGGAGACCTGGTCTGGGAGGGTTGCGTATGTATAAGTGTTTATTTCAAAGGGTGATTTTTTCTTTCTCTTTCTTATGCTCACTTCTGACTGCATAATCTATTTTTCCACGTAACAGAAAACACGAAAGGGGTATCTATCTCTTTTTCTTGTCATTCCTTGTACATCAGTGATGTAAGATATGTTATTACTATGTTATAAGTGTTATCTACGAATCTATGGTGACTTACAAAGAAATATACATATATATATGTGTGTGTGTGTGTGTGTGTGTGTGTGTGTGTGTGTGTGTGTGTGTGTGTGTGTATGTATGTTATACTTTTTTTTTTTTTTTTTGCTGTACTAAACTTTCAAACTTCCAGAAAAAAAACGCTTTATAAGAAAATATGGTCTTTATTTCAGGTATGAGAAGATGAATATGATTTGCTGAATATAAATCCCTGGCATATATTCTCTTATATGAATCTCTCTTAAGCATATGTGGCAGGAGGAGGGGCGTAGGCGGGGGGAGCGGGCTTGTAGGCGGGGGTGTGCTCGGGGTACTGAGCCTCGCCCTCGTAGCTGACCTCAGCTACGAGACCGTCGCCGTTGTCCACGTACTTGACGGTCTGCTTGCGGCCGTCGGGGAGGTCGACGGAGTAGCTGCCCTCGTCTTGTAGCCGTCGCGGGCTTTCTGAGTGGCCGAGGTTGACGCCGGAGTAGCCGTCGGCGACGCCGTAGTTGTAGTTGTACTTGGGTGGGACCTGTGGACAGGCAGACGTGAACGTTTTTTCTCTTTTTTTCTCTCCTTGTGTATACATGGTACTTTGCATACTTATAGAAATGAATATGGAAATTTAACAAATAAGCGGGACAAATTAGTTACAAAAAAAAAAATCGATGATAATTGTGATAATTCTTTTCTCATAGGTTTTTGTATTGATTACTTATTACAAAAATACTCACATCAGGGTATTCAGGCTCGTAGTGTGCATGAGCGTGATAAGCGGGCTCGGGGCGTGGTAGGCGGGTTCGGGGGCGTGGTAGGCGGGTTCGGGACGTGATAGGGGTGCGGGGGCGTGGTAAGGTGGTAAGGTAGAGGTGTAGACGGGGGGATGGGGATGTGGACGGGGGCCTTGTCGCACAGAGCGACGACAGCCACGCAGGCGAGGACGCGGCGACCTGTGGACAGAGCTGCATGTTACTCGTAAAGAAAGACAAAGATAACTTGTACAGAACACAGAATGAGACCATATGCTTACCAGGTGCATGAACAGAAATGGAGATACGAACAAAATTACTGTTTTATAGCTTAGGCATATGCTTGAAAGCCAATATATGCATTTATATACATGTTTCATATGTGCTCATGCATACCCGTGTATATATATATATATATATATATATATATATATATATATATATATATATATATATATATATATATATATGTATATATATATGCATATGTGTTTGTGTAAAAAAATATTAATTCATTGTTGTAAACCACAACACTTTGTGGATTCCTTCGGAGATCGAACGTCTGAATTTGGCTATACACTAGGCTTTCGTACCTTGAGAGACATGGCTGGAGAGCGAATGATGACTGGTGGTTGACGCTTCCCCTTATATGTGCGCCAGTGTGTTCGTTCGTGCGTTGGCTCCGCCTTAGGCCTTTCTCCCTTGGCCTGAGGAGGTGATGATCGGGCCCTTGAAATGCATTGGGTCTAATCGCCGAGAGGACAGGGAATATCTCTGTAGTTTTTGATATGTTATTATGATATATACTTTAATTGGGCAATTGTCGGTATATGAATATATATTCCTTTATTTAATCGATAGAAAATAAACATTAGAAGAAATGATAAAATGAAATTATCTATATAACATGATAGATATATATATGAAATTATATGTATATATATGTATGTATGCACTGTATATACATACATACATACATATATATAACTATATATATATACATATATTATGCATACATATATGTATATGTGTGTGTATATGTATATATATATATATATATAATATATATATATATATATATATGTATACATATCTGTATGTATATATATCTATATATTTATGTATGCTTATATGTACATGTATATGTGTGTGCATTTATATGTATATATATGTATACATGTGTATATATACACATACATAAATAAGTTGTATGAATATGTATATGTATTGTATATATAAAAATATAGATATATGTACATATCTGCAATTTATATATTATGTGTGTGTGTGTGTGTGTTGCTGTATATCGTATATATACATATATACATTTATATGTATGTGTGTGTCTGTGTAAATATACATGTATGTATGTTATACATACACATATGCGTGGGTGGGTGTTAGCATGTATATACACAGTTATATATGAATATATGTATATACACACACATATATAATCTATAAACACATACACACACACACACAATCGCACACACACACACACACAAACGCATACACATACACACAAACGCATATACATATATGTTTATATATACAGACACACACGCGCAAACACATACATGTGTGTATATATATGTATATATATATACATCTATGAAATATATATATATATATATATATATATATATATATATATATATATATATATATATATATATATATATATATATATATAGGCACACACGCACACAGACACAAAATATAATATATATATATATATATATATATATATATATGTATATATATATATATATATATATATATATATATAATATATATATATATATATGTATATATATATATGTATGTGTGTGTGGGTGTGGGTGTTGTTGTGTGTGTGTGTGTGTGTGTGTGTGTGTGTGTGTGTGTGTGTGTGTGTGTGTGTGTGTGTGTGTGTGTGTGTGTGTGTGTGTGTGTGCATATGTAAATATATGTACATATATGAAATATATATATATGTACATAAATGAAATATATATATATATGAAATAAATATATATGAAAAATATATACATATACACATATATGTATGCACATTTGCATGTACGTGCACACGCAGACAATGTGCAGTTATATATTTGTCTATGATCTTCATAACTGTTGCCCCTCCCCCTCCCCCCCCTTACCAACCAGTCCAACATTTTCATTCGTTTAATAGCTGAATATGGAGAGAAATGTGTTTATCATACCCTTTATTAAAAGCGAAATTGTTACAACCTCACTGCATCAGTAACAGTTATAGAAATGATTAATGAGGATTGCCTATGAAGATAAATAAAAATATATTATGTATCAAATACCTGGACCTATCACCATTCAGCATCTATCTGTCAGTCTGTCTGTTTATATATCAATATATATACATCTATGATATGCATATACATATACATGCATATATATATACATATACATGCATATATACATATATATAATATATAGCATATATATATATATACATAGTATATATAATTATCATATATGATATATGCATTGTATATGTACATATATAGTGCATTCGCATGCATGTATGATTGTTATGTGATAAATAAGAAAAATAAAAAATATATAAATGAAATGCCTGGACCTATCACCATTCGGAAGCATCTATCTGTCAGTTTATCTATTTATCTATCAATAAATACATCTATAATGAGAAGAAATAAATGCAAAACACTTTTCGAACAGCCTGCGACCAGTTACCTTATCGCATTCCTCTGCTCCTCAGACTGTCAGCTGCTCCCACGTGTTTTCCCCCAGGGTGGCTTGAGTGCAAGTTCCTCATCCTCACACATCACACACAGAAGGGGGACCTTATACCTAAATTTCTTCCGGATAAGCATATGTGTGTACATACTTAGGATTTGAACTTCTAAATCAGTTTCCAGCGAGTGCCTACGGGGAGTGTGCAAAACCTCGCTATCGTTACTCTAGCATGAGTAGATAGGCCATGTCTATGGAGCTGGTTAGATTCTAGTTGCATGTTCCTTTTAGTGGCTCGTGTGGTATGGTTGGTTTAGTGCTGGTCACTCTGGGCATAGCTGGAGCGTCAGGGGTAGGAGTCCAGGTCAGGGAGGTCTCGTATATGTGTTTATTTCAAAGGGTGATTTTTCTTTCTTTCTCTCTTATGTACACTTCTGACTGCATAATCTATTTTTCCACGTAACAGAAAACACAAAGGGAGTATCTTTCTTTTTTCTTGTCATTCCTTGTACATCAGTGATGTAAGATATGTTATGCGTTCTTATTACTATGTTATAAGTGTTATCTACGAATCTATGGCGACTTACAAGAGAATATATATGTATATATATATACTTTTTTTTCTTTTTTTTTTTTTTTTTGTACTAAACTTTCAAACTTCCAGAAAAAAAAACGCTTTATAAGAAAATATGGTCTTTATTTCAGGTATGAGAAGATGAATATGATTTGCTGAATATAAATCCCTGGCATATATTCTCTCAAATGATTCTCTCTTAAGCATATGTGGCAGGAGGAGGGGCGTAGGCGGGGGAGCGGGCTTGTAGGCGGGGTGTGCTTGGGTACTGAGCCTCGCCCTCGTAGCTGACCTCAGCTACGAGACCGTCGCCGTTGTCCACGTACTTGACGGTCTGCTTGCGGCCGTCGGGGAGGTCGACGGTGTAGCTGCCCTCGGTCTTGTAGCCGTCGCGGGACTCCGAGTGCCCGAAGTTGCGCCCGGAGTAGCCGTCGGCGACGCCGTAGTTGTAGTTGTACTTGGGAGGCACCTGTGGACAGGCAGACGTGAACGTCTTTTCTTTTTTTCTCTCTCTTTCTCTCCTTGTGTATACATGGTACTTTGCATACTTATAGAAATGAATATGGAAATTTAACAAATAAGCGGGACAAATTAGTTCGTTACAAAAAAAAAATCGATGATAATTGTGATAATCCTTTTTTCATGACTTTGTATTGCTTACTTATTACAAAAATACTCACATCAGGGTATTCAGGCTCGTAGTGTTTTGGAGCGTGATAAGCGGGCTCGGGGGCGTGGTAGGCGGGTTCGGGGGCGTGGTAGGCGATAGGCGGGTTCGGGGCGTGGTAAGGTGCAGGGGCGTGGGTAAGGTCTAGAGGTGTAGACGGGGGGATGGGGGATGTGGACGGGGGCCTTGTCGCACAGAGCGACGACAGCCACGCAGGCGAGGACGGCGACCTGTGGACAGAGCTGCATGTTACTCGTAAAGAAAGACAAAGATAACTTGTACAGAACACAGAATGAGACCATATGTTTACCAGGTGCATGAACAGAAATGGAGATACGAACAAAATTACTGTTTTATAGCTTAGGCATATGCTTGAAAGCCAATATATGCATTTATATACATGTTTCATATGTGCTCATGCATACCCGTGTATATATATATATATATATATATATATATATATATATATATATATATATATATATATATATATGCATATGTGTGTTTGTATAAAAAAAATATTCATTCATTGTTGTAAACTCAACACTGTGTGGATTCCTTCGGAGATCGAACGTCTGAATTTCGCTATACACTAGGCTTTCGTACCTTGAGAGACATGGCTGGAGAGCGAATGATGACTGGCGGTTGACGCTTCCCCTTATATGTGGGACAGTGTGTTCGTTCGTGCGTTGGCTCCGCCTTAGGCCTTTCTCCCATGGCCTGAGGGGGTGATTATCGGGCCCTTGAAATGCATTGGGTCTAATCGCCGAAGAGGACAGGGAAATCTCTGTAGTCTTTTTTATTATCATGATATATACTTCCATTGGGTAATTGTCGGTATTTGAATATATATTCCTCTATTTGTAAATCAATAGAAAATTAAACATTAGAAGATATGTAAATGAAATTATCTATATATGCATAAATATATATATGAAATTATATGCATATATATGTATGTATGCACTGTATATACATACATACATACATATATATACATACATATATATACATACATATATATACATATATATACATACATATATATGTATATATATATATATATTATTATGTGTGTGCGTGTGTGTGTGTGTGTGTGTGTTATACATATCTGTTGTATATATCTATATATTTATGTATGTTATATGTACATGTATATATATGTGTATTTATATGTATACATATATGTATATATGTGTATTTATACACATATACATATAAATAAGTATATATAATGGATATGTTATATATATGTATATATACAAATATAGATATATGTACATATCTGCAATTCATATATGTGTGTGTGTGTGTGTGCTGTATATATTCGTATATATACATATATACATTTATATGTATGTGTGTGTCTGTGTAAATATACATGTCCGTATGTTATACATACACATATGCGTGGTGGGTGTTAGTATGTATACACACATTATATATGAATATATGTATATACACACACATATATAATCTATATACACATACACACAAACACACACACACAAACGCACACACACACACACACAAACGTATATACATACACACAAACGCATATACATATATGTTTATACATATATACAGACACACACGCGCAAAGACATACATGTGTGTATATATATGTATATATATACATCTATGAAATATATATATATATATATATATATATATATATTATATATATATATATATATATATATAGGGACACACGCACACAGATAGAAATATGTATATATATATATATATATATATATATATATATATATATATATATATTATTGTGTGTGTGTGTGGTGTTGTGTGGTATGCATATATAAATGAAATATATGTACATATATGAAATATATATATGTACATAATGAAATGTATATATATATGAAATAAATATATGAAAAAATACATACATATACATATATATGTGTATGCACATTTACATGTACGTACACACGCAGACAATGTGCAGTATATATTTGACTATGATCTTCATAACTGTTGCCCCTCCCCCTCCCCCCTCCCCTTACCAACCAGTCCAGTCTTTTGATTCATTCAATAGCTGAATATGGAGAGAAAATGTGTTTATCATACCCCTTTATCAAAGCGAAATTATCACACTCTCAATGCATCAGTAACAGTAATAGAAATTATTAATGACGATTGCCTATGAATATAAATAAAAATATATAGATAGTCTGTATCAAATACCTGGACCTATCACCATTCATAAGCATCTATCTGTCAGTCTGTCTGTTTATCTATCAATATATACATCTATGATATGCATATACATATATATGCATATGCATATATACATATACATATATATATTATATGCATATATATACATATATACATTATATATATATATACATATATATGCATATATATACATGTATACATAATATACATATATGTATGTATATGTATATGACATAAATATACATTAAAAATATATATACATATATATGCATTCACAGCTGCATGTATGATGATTGTATGTGATAAATAAGAAAATAAAAAATATATAAATGAAATGCCTGGACCTATCACCATTCGGAAGCATCTATCTGTCAGTTTATTTATTTATCTATCAATATATACATCTGTAGTGAGAAGAAATAAAGGCAAAACACTTTTCGAACAGCCAGCGACCAGTTACCTTATCGCATTCCTCTGCTCCTCAGACTGTCAGCTGCTCCCACGTGTTTTCCCCCAGGGTGGCTTGAGTGAAGGTTCCTCATCCTCGCACATCACACACAGAAGTGGCTCCTCATACCCAAACTTCTGACGGATAAGTATGTGTGTGCGTACTTAGGATTTGAACTTCTAAATCAGTTTCCAGCGAGTGCCTAAGGGGAGTGTGTAAAACCTCGCTATCGTTACTCTAGCATGAGTAGATAGGCCATGTCCATGGAGCTGGTTAGATTCTAGTTGCATGTTCCTTTTAGTGGCTCGTGTGGTATGGTTGGTTTAGTACTGGTCACTCTGGGCATAGCTGGAGCGTCAGGGGTAGGAGTCCAGGTCAGGGAGGTTGTATATATTGTTATTTCAAAGGGTGATTTTTTTCTTCTTTCTCTTTCTTATGCACACTTCTGACTGCATAATCTATTTTTCCCACGAAACAGAAAACACGAAGGGGTATCCTTCTCTTTTTCTTGTCATTCCTTGTACATCAGTGATGTAAAATATGTTATGCGTCCTTATTACTGTTATAAGTGTTATCTACGATTCTATGGCGACTTAAAGCGAATTCTTTTTTTTTTTCTTTTTTTTTTTTTTTTTGTACTAAAGTCAGGTGTCCAAACTTCCAGAAAAAAATCGATTTATAAGAAAATATGGTCTTTATTTCATGTATGATAAAATGAATATGATTTGCTGAATATATATCCTTGGCATATATTCTTAAATGAATCTCTCTTAAGCATATGTGGCAGGAGGAGGGGCGTAGGCGGGGAGCGGGCTTGTAGGCGGGGGTGTGCTCGGTACTGAGCCTCGCCCTCGTAGCTGACCTCAGCTACGAGACCGTCGCCGTTGTCCACGTACTTGACGGTCTGCTTGCGGCCGTCGGGGAGGTCGACGGTGTAGCTGCCCTCGGTCTTGTAGGCCGTCGCGGGACTCCGAGTGGCCGAAGTTGGCGCCGGAGTAGCCGTCGGCGACGCCGTAGTTGTGTGTACTTGGGAGGCACCTGTGGACAGGCAGACGTGAACGTCTTTTCTTTTTTCTCTCTCTCTTTCTCCTCCTGTGTATACATGGTACTTTGCATACTTATAGAAATGAATATGGAAATTTAACAAATAAGCGGGATAAAATCGATGATAATTGTGATAATCCTTTTTTCATGACTTTTGTATTGCTTACTTATTACAAAAAATACTCACATCAGGGTATTCAGGCTCGTAGTGTTTCGGAGCGTGATAAGCGGGCTCGGGGGCGTGGTAGGCGGGTTCGGGGGCGTGGTAGGCGGGGCGGGCGTGGTAAGGTGCAGGGGCGTGGTAAGGTCTAGAGGTGTAGACGGGGGATGGGGGATGTGGACGGGGACTTTGTCGCACAGAGCGACGACAGCCACGCAGGCGAG